ATTAAAGGTCAATAAAGTCTTTCCTTGTCCTGTAAAGTTTCCTTTTTGGAGATACAAGGTTTGTTCTGATAGCAGTGGTATATCGATCCACTGGCTTGATAAGGTCGACCCCCCGCTAACTGTAGGCCACTGATGGTCCACCCCCGGACCACCCGGATTGTAACTCCTCAAAGAGATTTTAAATGAACACAGCCTTTTATTTTGGGCGTTAACTAAGATAAATATAACAAACAACTGAGAGAAAAAATGTATGTGTTACACTGATCAGGCATAACATCATGACCACCTCCTTGTTTCTACACTCACTGTCCATTTTATCAGCTCCACTTACTATATAGGTGCACTTTGTAGTTCTACAGTTACAGACTGTAGTCCATCTGTTTCTCTGCATACTTTGTTAGCCCCCTTTTACCCTTTTACCCACTGTTCTTCAGTGGTCAGGACCCCCATTGACCCTCACAGAGCAGGTACTATTTGGGTGGTGGATCATTCTCAGCACTGCAGTAACACTGACGTGGTGGTGGTGTGTTAGTGTGTGTTGTGCTGGTCTGAGTGGATCAGACACAGCAGTGCTGCTGGAGTTTTTAAACACCTCAGTGTCACTGCTGGAATGAGAATAGTCCACCAACCAAAAATATCCAGCCAACAGCGTCCTGTGGGCAGCGTCCTGTGACCACTGATGAAGGACTAGAGGATGACCAACACAAACTGTGCAGCAGCAGATGCATGATTAAAGGGTTCTTTGCATCATGAAAGCGTTCTTCAGATTGATGGAGAATGTGCTGTAGATGGTTGTATAATGAAAAACAAACGGGTTCTCCTATTGTTATGGTGCCAAGCTTGTAACAGTAGAAGAATGCTTTTCAAAAAGGTTCTAGATAAAACCATCTACAGCATATCCATGCACATTTTTCATCAATCTGAAGAACCTTTAATGATGCAAAGAACTTCTAATCATGCAAAGGGTTCTTTGAGTGTTCATGGTTCTATCTAGACCCAGTTTCCTTACTAAAGAACCCTTGAAGAACCATTTCAGGCCACTCTGCATTACTTTTTTGCGTCTTAACCATTTAATTATGCAGAAATTTTTTTGTGCCATCTTGTTTTTGACTATTTTGCAATCACAAATAGCTCTGTATCTTTCTCAGTGTCTAACTCCTCTTCCTTCCATCTTCCTCCCAATGACCTCTTAGTTGCCCAGCTCACCGCATCCATCCCTACCACCTCCTGTGGACATGAGCAGCCACCCACACTGAGGTGTAGTCAGCAGTCGAACACAGTGGTCACAGTAGTGGAGGACAAGCCGGTCCTCAAACAGGAACCTTCAGCCGACAGCCTGCAGGGTTTGTGTCCTGCTGAAATAAAAACTGAAATGGAACAGGTCGACTATCCTGCCTCGGAGCAGCCCATGCTTCATAACAGCTTTATAGCTGTTGATTCACATTTCCACAATTCCCAAACCGAGCTTCCTACTGAGCTTCCGGTCACTGAGATGGACTTCCCGCCGATGGCTCCGTGCATGAACGCAGAAGCTCTGAACGCTTTCGTGGAGCCGTTCCCTTACGAAGACGAGCCAAGCCTGCCGCTGGATGGCTGGAGGCAGCGGGCGGGCCAGCAGGATCAAGAGGAACGCCACAGCTGCCTCGTGTGCGGGAAAACCTTCAGCCGAATCGGGAACCTCCGCAGCCACCAGCGCTGCCACACCGGGGAAAAGCCCTACACCTGCCTTCACTGCGGCCGGCGCTTCAGCCACAGCGGAAACCTCCAGAAACACAAACGGGTGCATACAGGAGAAAGACCTTACCGCTGCCTGCAGTGCAGCAAGACGTTCTGTCAGTCCAGCCACTTGAAGAAACATCAGATGATCCACGCAGACCGGCAGATGATCGTAGGAAGGACGGAAATGGAGCTCTGAAGGAAACCTGGGTTTTGATGAACGTTTCACAGATCGAGTCACTATTTCATTAATTTCAAAGCATTTTCTGTTGTTCATTAACATTGAGTGCATTTACATTAACTTAATAATCCGATCATAATCAGATTCCTGCGGTTATCTGATTATTCAGATGGTCATGTAAACAGCACACTATGATTTCTAGATCGGAGTAAAGTCTAGAAATCTGATAAAGAGGCTGGATTTTAGCTCACTAATCAGATTGCTCAGTGCATGTAAACTCTTACTCTGATTTCTTTCGGATTTCTCCATCTGCACATCTGTGAAACAGACGGCGGTACCGGAAATAAGCGAGCAGCGTTGCCGCGAGACGCAGCAAAACACTTTTGGAGCAACGCTGATACCAACTACATGCTTGACGAAATGAAGAATTTAAATATTCTTCATCTTCTAGTGATGTATTTTCATATTTTCAGTTAAAGTGGTGCGATGTTTAAAAAAAAAAACTGCAGCATGAATTACGTTTACACTACGTTTACGTCACGTCTTCTTCTGTGAGTTTATTGGCTGGTTGTACAGTAGAAACCCGATTACTGCCCAACTCATGTAGACCTGGAGTTTTCCCATTATCTGATTACTCAAGCACATGTACACGTGTTGATCGGATTACTGCAGTTATCGGATTATTAAGTGCATGTAAACACACTCACTGTTCTGTGTTAAATTTGCATTCTGAAATTCTTGGGCCTGTAGTAATATCACTGCAATGTCTATGTACATAGTTCCTCACGTTAATATATTCACTGAATGGATGTATTTAAAACTTTTATTTTGAATCTAAAATATGGAGAGGTTTAATCTCCAAAGCTGAAACTGTTTTATTTATCAACTGAAGAATAAATAACATTTATTACCATCTGTCAATGCTCTAAATACTTCCATAAGGAATGTAGGTCCTCACATAAAGTAAGCATTTGTAATTATCAAGCAAAAGTGGCAACAAGAGTGGAAACTTATTATACAGATACATTTATATGCTATTATCTTGTTAGCAGATAAGCTTTTGCTACTCCCCCTGTCCTCCCCCTCATTTGCCCCTGCTCATCTCCTATCCCAGAAGCATGTGGAGAGTAATTTCAACATTTTTTTTTTGAAAAGTTGGTTCTTCAAAGCATACTTTACATATGTTTACAGCACATTTATAGCAGACATGAGCTAAAGGTTAGTTTTGATTTCAGGTTGACTTTAAAGGTGCAGTGTATAAGATTTAGGGGATCTATTAGCAGAAGTGGAAGATATTATACAAAACCATGTTTTCATTAGTGTATAATCACCTGTTACTATGGATCTGTTTGTTTTAGTTCGCTTAGAATGAGCTTTTCATATATATATATATATATATAATATAACAAGCATGTCCTGAGTTGAACTGGAGCAAGAAAGCAAAAATGTCCAGAACTAGGCCTTCAGGGAACCTGTGGAGTATATTCCAGGAAATGTGCTTTTATTTTGCAACACAAAAAGCAAGGAAATGATTCTAAAGAATTATTGTAGCTAGTAGAGAAATACTACGTTCATAAGTGTGACTGTTCCAGTTCATTCATATGTGCATGTATGAGTGATGTAACAAATTGTAAATGAAAAAGTAATGTTCACCTCTGGAATTCTTAATATTGTAGTGTTTGAATCCCACTTCTGACACCAGTTGCAGCGCTCAGCGCTCTTAAAAGAGGCACTGTTTTCACACAAGTTATGGTGCTATATTTTCCAGCTGCTGTTGGCCACAGCCACACTGCACACAAGTGAAGCTTTTCTTTCCCTTACAACTCGTTCTCTCACCCAGCTCACGTCTTTCTCTCTCCCTCCCTCCACACACACATACACCACACAGTCCTAGCATTAGGCACTGAAGAAAGTTTTGTCCCTTCCAGTTGGTGATGTGCTCAAGGCACTTATGGAATGAGTCAAGGGGACCATCGTTGTTTGGGGAGAGCGCCAAGTAGATCTGAGTATCATCTGCACAGCTGTGGTAAGACATCCCATAGTCTTGAAATATTTGGCCAAGAGGCAGCATGTATAAATTAAATAAGAGCAGCCCCAGAATTGAACCCTGGGGGACACCACAGTTCACTGGCAATCTCTCAGAAACATTATTTTCTATTTCAACAAAGTAATTCCTTCCTTCCTTCCAGGTATCAAGTGAAGTCCAACCCAGTTCTCAAGTTGACCCATGAGAATTTTGTGGTCAGTGGTATCAAAGGCAGCGCTGAGATCGAGCAGCAGCACAATAGATGTTTTTCCGGAGTCTGCATTTAAAAGAATGTCATTAATAACTTAATAAGACCTGTCTCAGTGCTATGATTAGGCCAAGATCCTCACTGAAATTTGTCTAGACAGCTATTTCAGGTCAGAAAGCCACTAAGTTGCTTGCAGACTATTTTCTCAATGGTTTTTCCAAAGAAAGGTAGATTTGAAATCGCTCTGCAGTTAGAGTTGCTTCTAGGTTTTTCTTTTTTAATGGAGGTTTTATTGTATTAGGAAAAATGCCCAACAGGAGTGAGGTGTTTACCATCTGAAGTATGTCCACTGCTGAGTGAAACACATTCTTCAAAAGTTGGTTGGTAACATGCCAAAACTACAAGTGGCTCATAAGAGATGATTCCCTATATCGATTAAAATATCATTATTAATAGCACTAAACTGGGACATTTTAACCATGATATCTTTATGTGGTGATGGAGAGGACGCCGGCTCTTTGTTGGATATAGATGTATTAATGGCTTGTCTGATATTATGGATTTTAGTGTTAATAAAATATGCAACCTCGTTACATCTCTCCGTTGGTGCCCATTTGCTGTGGAAAGAAGGAAAATACCGGTAAGTTTTCTTTATTTCCAGTGAAACACATTCTTCTACTTTCTAAAATTAAAGGGAAGTTCTGGGTAAGTGGTCACAAACCGTTTTAAATGTTTTTTTTAGCCGTTCAGCTTCATTTACTCCCTTTTACTGAGGACCTGCTCGCGGGCGCCCTCTGCCGTTTATCAGGCGTGTTTTTGATATAACCGTAGAAACAGAAAGTGGCCAGGCTCTGCTCTTGCTCCGGTTGAGTGGGACTTTTAATTTGAAATCGAAGGCGCACTGGGATGTAAATATAGGAAGAGGCAGGGACTGAATTTCGATTGAAATTCCTCTTTTTGAAGTTCCTCTTTCATTTAAACCGCCTCTGTCCTTTAAACCGGTCAGTTAGAGTGAAGACCAGATGAAATAAAGTATAGCGAACACGTTTATAATCTAACTGACCATATTCCTGAGGACGAGGCTCGTTTGTGGATTATATTTTCGTGTTATCGATAAGGAGGGGCTGACCGACTCTTCAGCTGCGGATTCGTGTTTGTCTGTCTGTTTGTTTGTTTGTTTGTTTACTTCAGGTTTTTCTGCCTGAATCTCTTTAATAACGTCTGTAAACCAAGTTAACTGAGTGTTATCCGTACAAAACGGGCCACTATGTCCACGACGACGCTGGAAAAGAGCCAGACTTTCTCTCGGTAAAGCATGTTTTCATACGTTTAACCTAAACTGTCACTCTTTAATATGTACTATATCTGCTAATGTAGCGCTGGACTCACTTAAAGGGGAATTCCACCTGATTTTCAAATGTTTGCATAATTCCGTCGTTGAGATGTAAACAAAGCCATTCAGGGTGGTTTAATATGAAATGGCTCTTTTGTAGAGAAACTTACAGACTCAGATGTCTTTACAGTGGTGCTGATAGGAACCAGAGGTCAGTGTCTACAACACAAATATAGCCATTTTATTTCAGTGAACCTGTCTTCTGAGGTTTTATGTGCAGAGTTGATGAGGGTAAATACTTTTGTTGGGGACTATTTTGCCTTAGAACACCCTGCATGTATCCTTCCACCAAGAACGGGTTAAAAAAAAATATATTAACAAGACCAAAACTTTATCCCAAAACTATCATCAGGCAGGGTATTCATAACAATTTTGTGTAATAATTTCTGTGTGGCAGCTTTTAGAGGTGGACGCCTGTCAACAAGGGTGATGGTGGTGAATGGAACCAGGGGTCACCATGTCCACAACACAAATATAGACATTTTATTTACCATGCAAAACCATCAGTGAACCTACACGTGTCTTCTGAGTGTGTATATGAAATGTTGATGATGGTAAAATAGTGATAAATCTGAAAAAAAATATATTTTCTTTGGGGACTATGTTGCTTTAGAAGGCCCTGTATGTACCTCTCTCCAATTAGTGTATCAAAAAATGTGTTTTAAGCCAAAATCTTATCACAAAACTACGATAAAACAGTCTCTCAGGTAACACATCATGTTTATTTCATATAATAACTTCCTTTGAGGGAAGTTTTAAAGGTATAAACTTCCCTTTAAAGGAGGCCAAATGTCCAAATGTCACTCATCTACCAAAGAGATCTACAGTAACATTACAGGAAACCTTGAGTTTAAGAGCTTCTACAGTGTTGTATAATACAAATAATAATATAATATATAACTATATTCTTGGTTCTATGTAATAATATTGTAGTAATATTACAAGTATTACAAATAATACTGTCTAATTGTAATCAATAATGCTTATGTAGCAAATTAGTCATTTTCATTATGTTGTATAAAATTAGTGTAAAAGTCCTGTACACTTTAAAAAAGATGGTTCCTCAAGGGTTCTTTAGTAAAGAAAATGATTCTATGTAGAACCATGAACAGTCAAAGAACACATGACTAAAGGGTTCTTTGCATGTTGAAAGGGTTCTTCAGATTGATGGAGAATGCGCTGTAGATGGTTGCTATATAGAACCTTTTTGAAAATGGTTCTGTATAGCACCCAAAAGGGTTCTTCTATTGATACAAGCTTGACATCTATATAGAACCATCTACAACACATTCTCTATCAACGTGAATGACACAAATAGCCCTTTAATCATGCATAGAGTTCATTGAATGTTCACAGTTCTATATAAAACCATGTTCTTTACTAAAGAACCCTTGAAGAACCATCTTTTTAAAGAACGTAGTACTACTGTATGTCTTTTCTCATTAGGCACAATAGGGACATGATGGAGTTAGTGATACTTCTGGGACACAGAGAAAAGAATCAGATGATCAGAACTTAATTAGCCTGCTTGCTTGATTGGGGCACAACGGCCCCTCGACTGAAGGGATATTTCTACAGAGTCTGACCACTTATGGTAGATATGAGGGGTGAAAAGTAACTGAATATGGATGAAAGTGATTATTTCACAACTACAAACACAGAGATGTGAAGATATACCATGTGGTGTTCCACTGGAATAGTACCCTATATCATTTTATAGCGTTTGTGCTTAACTGTTTACTTTTATTGAAGCTATTAACCATATCTAACGCACTGTTTATTGTATGAAACAACACTTATACATATTTACATTTTATTTAGGGGCTTTTGGTGTGCCAACCTGATTTAAAGCTTTTTTATTAGATCAATATTACATTATTTCAGCTTGTGAGTGAAACATTTGTATACTTACACCCAGTGTTGTCACTGTTCTGCCACAGCTTTCTGTCAGAAACATTAGATTCACTGGTTTTGTTAAGCAGACAGTCTTTGTGGGTTAGTTTTATGTAACCCAGATTTACTAAGTTTCTCTGTTGGTTGAAAGAGGAAGTCTTGGTCATCTGATGTTTAGGACAAGGAAGTGAAACCAGAGCCAGTTGAAGGGCAGCAGGGCCTCTTCCTGTTTCGTCCATTATATCAAAACAAGACTGCAGAATGCCTAACATGTAAATTAAGCATTTATCTTCTTTTTAAATTTTAGAAAGTAGAAGAGGGTATTTTGTTTAGAAAAGGAAAAAGCATCTTACCATCATACCAAAGATTTTAGGCAGTAGGACGCTGGCAGTTTTGCGCTCATTAATGCCATGGATAAACACTGTAGTCCATCTGTTTCTCTGCATACTTTGTTAGCCCCCTTTTACCTTGTTCTTCAGTGGTCAGGACCCCCATGGACCCACACAGAGCAGGTACTATTTGGGTGGTGGATCATTCTCAGCACTGGAGTTTTTTAACACTGTGTCCACTCACTGTCCACTCTAATAGATACTCCTACCTTGTCAGTCCACCTTGTAGATGTAAAGTCAGAGACGATAGCTCATCTGCTGCTGCACAGTTTGTGTTGGTCATCCTCTAGTCCTTCATCAGTGGTCACAGGACGCTGTTGGCTGGATATTTTTGGTTGGTGGACGATTCTCAGTCCAGCAGTGACACTGAGGTGTTTAAAAACTCCAGCAGCACTGCTGTGTCTGATCCACTCAGACCAGCACAACACACACCAACACACCACCACCACGTCAGTGTTACTGCAGTGCTGAGAATGACCCACCACCTGCTCTGTGAGGGTCCATGGGGGTCCTGACCACTGAAGAACAGGGTAAAAGGGGGCTAACAAAGTATGCAGAGAAACAGATGGACTACAGTCTGTAACTGTAGAACTACAAAGTGCACCTATAGAGTAAGTGGAGCTGATAAAATGGACAATGAGCGTAGAAACAAGGAGGTGGTCAAAATGTTATGCCTGATCGGTGTGTATAAGACACTGTTATAAAGTCCTATAACTGGAATTCAGAAGCTTCAAAACATGACAGCAGTGTTGAAACATGTTATGCTGTTGTGTGTTGAAATAAAATAAGTGCATTTGGCTGTATTAAAAAGGTTTACAATTACAGTTATACAAAAGCTCCATAGGAACCCATTCATTTGCGACTGTCATGAGCGCCCTCTAGTGTCAGACCATCCCAGAGTGGTTGTTCTTCTCTCTAGAAACTCTCTGGTGAAACTCAGTGTAAAAGTTCTGTCTGTACAACCCACAGTGAGATGGAACTGAGCGGTCTAATGTTTTCATGTCGGTTTTTCCTCAACCGAGTATAAAGCACAAATAAACTCACCGTTCCATTAGACCTTCATTTTGTAGCACTTGAACAGTCCGCTTTGCTGCCTTTTGGTGGTATTTACTTCCTCAATCCATAACCACTGAATCATGTTACTTCCCTTCAGGCCTACACAGCAAGGAACGGTGAACTCAGTGTTGAATTTAAAAGAGGACTTCCACAGATTAAACAAATCTGCATAATTCATCTACTGGGATGTAAACAAAGTCATTCAGAGTGGTTTGATGTGAAATGGTGCACTGCTGATAGGAACCAGGGGTCATGATAATTTAATGTACTATGAAAACCACCAGTGAATCTACACGGATCTTCTGAGTTTTTATATGGAATGTTAAAAATAATGAAAAAGGGGAAAATTAATTGTTTGGGGCCTATTTTGCCTTATAACAAATGTATTAAAAAAATAAATAAATTTTAGTCCAAAATGTCATCACAAAACTATCGTTAAAAAAAAATCTTTGGCATCACGTAGAATATTTTTAACCATGTAATAAGTTTCTGTGAGGAAGCTTTTAGAGGTGGACGTCTGGTTCCTATTACCAGCACTGTGAACAACTCTGACTCTATAAGTTTCTCTGTACAGGTTTTTTGAGCTTTAGCTGTACATTTTCATAAGTTTGATCAGTTTATAATCATAAATAGTAATAATAGTCTTGCTGTACAGTTAATTACAGTTGATCTTGATTGCATGGTTTTGTGGGCTAAAACATTGTGCTTGTGTGGAATACAGTGATGATTCTCCTGAGTAACTCAATTTTCGGTTGTATCTCCTCAAATCAGCAATAACGTGACGAAGCTGGATCGTCTGAACGTCCGGGTCAGCAAGCTGCTGACGGTGGCGGTGCATGAGGTCCTGGAGGTGGTGAGAGAGACGGTGTCGGAATATCAGGAGAAGACGGCGCGGACGCAGAGGGAGAACGAGAGGCTGCGGCTGAAGTTGCGGGACGCCCTGGAGCAGCTGGAAAGAGAGAGAGAAGGTGAATGTTAGTGAGTGAACGTCTCACAACAGAGCAGAACCTAATCTAGGCAACAGGAACAAGTCTTGAACATGGTGCCAGTGAGCGCTTTGTTTGGGGCGATACATCATTTCATATAATTTGAAAAATGTACAGACATTTTGAGGGGCAGGGGCTCAAAAAAAGGCAATAAAAAAATAAAATTTTTTAAATTTATATAATTTAATTTACAGCATATGGCTGATAAAAGGCAGTCATGTTGTAGAGGACAGTAAATGTAGTGTCGAATCTTTCCCAAGTCAAGTCAAGTCAAGCTTTATTTATATAGGGCTTTTTATAGCAGGCATTGTCACAAAGCAGCTTTACAGAAAAATCCAGGTCCGAGCCCCCATGAGCGTCGCCAATGGCAACAGTGGGAAGAAAAACTCCCTAAGAGTAAGAGGAAGAAACCCTGAGAGGAACCAAGACTCAAAAGGGGAACCCATCCTCCTCTGGTCGACACCGGATAGCAAACAATAACACGAGCAAAAAAAACAGGGAATAAGGTTTTAACATTAGTCTAAAAGGGGAAATGCAGGTGAAGCAGTGGCTCTGATTGAATAGTTTGACTCTGTGCAGCAGCAGCATCATCAGGAGGGTCAGTTCATGCAGGTGAGGTTTGCACAGTGTTGTACAGCAGGAAGCTCCATTGTAGTTGAACTGGTCCAGAAGGCTGGCGAGCAGTGGGCACCCAAACAAGCCAGATGAAGCAACAGCATCAGACGCACAGGATGTGCAGTTATTCAGCTCAGCAAAGAAACCACAGACAGTTCTGTTAAGAGAGACAGATTATAGTATACAGTGTTAACACAGTGCTGCAGAGACTCCGGCAGGTCGAGCTGTTACAGCCTCATTAAAAGGGAAAGCAAGAAGGTCATAGAGACCTGAGGCTCCCCGAGATGTCAGCACCCCTCTGCTCCACCGTCAACAAACCTGAGTGAGTGCGTGAGAGCAGCATGATGACATCACTGATGTTGTCAGTTTACCATAATACATAAACAGGAAAAACGAATTACCAAAGGCTCGACTAAACAAGCTGGTTTTTAGCCTAGACTTGAAGACTGAGGCTGGGTCTGAGTCCTGAACACTGACTGGAAGGTTATTTCAAAGTTGGAGGGCTTTGTATGAGAGCCCCCCCCCCTTTGTATGAGAAGGTTATTCCAAAGTTGGGGGGCTTTGTATGAGAGCCCCTCTGATGTGACTTTATTCATTCTAGGTACTAATAGTAAGCAGCACCTTGTGATCTAAGAAGGCATGATGGTTCAAAATAAGAGAAGTTCACTCAGGTACTGAGGGGCCGTTTAGAGCTTTATATGTCAAAAAATAAAGCAGCAAATAAAGCAGATGGCAGTCCTACCTAGGGGTGGGCAATATGAGGATATTATACTGTTATTGCGATAAATTATGTCACAATACACTTTTCTGAGCATATCATAGATATAAAACTACATGTTTCATTACAAAGTGAACATAATTAGGTCTGTTTAACTGGATATAGTGCAGTGCAGTTTGTAAAACATTGAATAAAACCATTTGTAGTTGTAGATTTATTATTATTATTATTGTAGTATTTCCAAAAGTGGTATTACACATTTTTTTGTCTGTTCCGTCTTGTTTAATCTCAGAAAAACTGAACATTGTGATGTGTATTGTTTATCATGAAAATGTCTGGAAGAATCATGATAAAATTCAGGGAACTGAAACTCACTTATCTGCATATACGGCTATATCATTAATCACTACACTACTTACTGTACATATCATCGCTGTTGTATCTCCATTTTTGTCGTTTTTCATTCTTTGACATAATTTGAAAATACCAGTTGCTCTTTACGTTTTCTGGACATTTCATGACAAACAGACCAACAGAAATGTTCCAAACTTACTTAGAGTAAAATATCTTTACATTAACCTACATTGAAATTTAAGAATAGTTTTCCCTTCACCTGAAAAGTTACTATTTTGGAGATGCAAGATTTTGATCCGACAGCGATGATGTGTGAGGAGGACTTTGTTACCTCGCAAAACTTCAAGATCCCCTCTGCCCTGGGAGTCTATGTGTACATGCCTGCACAAATTTCACTTAATATTCCAGAGTAAAACAGCATGTTTAATCAGTGATTAAAATATGTATTTAATTTTAAGTAATTTTGCCTTCCATACGAAACATTCTACGATTCACTGTAAGTAGTCCTTGGGTCTTTTTGCTTGGTGGTGAAGTATAACCGTAGCTCATGTGAATTCATTGTCATTTCCTTTTGTTTTTACCTTTGCAGTGTCAAGACTTGCCTCCATCTCCTTGTCGGTCAATAGCCTGTCCACTCAGACTCAGCCGACACCTGGCTCAGATGTTTCCTGTTTGAGGCAAGAGTCCACTTCTGCTCAGCCTGAGGATCCAGTTGTTAAAGGAGAAGAGCTCGGCCACGCTGTAGAGGCAGAGACGGTTTGTGACCTGAGAGTGGCGCTAACGTTAGCCGATATGTGTACATCAGAAGCGGAACATGACAGCAGTACAGATCTGACCGAAACGCAGCACAGTGCGCAAGCTTCAGATCGCTTGCCTGCGGACCGGGCGCCAAGCATACCTGTACAGGACATTAAAACTGAATCTGCTGCTGGGGAACACTCTTCCCCACAACAACAGATGTCCCAGGTCGGGTTAGATGATGTTGCTGAGGACCTTAGTGACCCTGCAGCAGGACAAGATCTCATTGGTACAAGCTCCTATGGTATTGTATTCGTCCAGTCAGATCTCAGTACAGCTGGAAGGTGCATGATGACTGAAAGGAGCGCAAAGTCGGCCATGGAAAGGTCCAGGAGCCTGCAAATACCACGGGGTGTGGAGAACCATGGTTGCAAAGTAGGGATGCCTCTTGATTCCTGTCTCACAGCAAATAAAAGAGTCCATGGCTATGGATAATTTACCCAGTATGTAACATGTAAATACTAAAAAGCATTGGGCCAAGAACAAACACTTGGGGCACACCACAAATAACTTGGGAAGATCTTCACTGAATATAACCGGTTCTGAAACAGAAACCAGTTATAAACTGCATTGAATGTTAGAATTTATCATTTTGAGGTGAGAGATTTTCACCTCTCATACCTCTAAAACCCTAACGATACCCATCTCTGCCACCAGGTGTGCGGGAAGACGTTCAGTCGTGTGGGGAACCTCCGGATCCACGAGCGATGTCACACCGGAGAAAAACCGTACTGCTGCCCTGTGTGCGGCCGCTGCTTCATCCAGGCCGGAGACCTAAAGAAGCACAAGAGAGTTCACACCGGAGAGAAGCCCTACTACTGCCTCCAGTGTGGCAAAAGCTTCAGCCGGAGGGAGAACCTCAAACGGCATCAGAAGATCCACATAGGACAGAGTTTACATCACCAGCGTTTATGGAAGGGCCCTCAGTAGGGCTGGGCGATATGGCCTAAATATCATATCACAATATTTCTTATGTTATCGCTGGCGTTACGGTATTTGACTGTATTTTATTTCACAGTGCAGCTTGTATGAGAAACGTATCGCCCAAAGACAGCAGCCACTGATCAATCAAGAACAAAACGCCACACTGTACAGGCCTGTTACATCACTTTTTAGGAGGAGTGGTGGGTGTTATGAAAATGTTTGAATTATATGTAGACTGCAGATTCTTTTATACTTTTGCTATGAGCAACTTTTAATATTTAACAGAAAAATACTGTCAATTAAGGTTTTGAAAAATCAATTGGAGCATGAATCAAAATCTGATAGACCCAAAAATTATCCACTTGAAGTGATGTTAAGGCATTCAAAAGACATTTTTACATGTCCTGATGTGATCCAAAATGTCAGTACCAGAGCAGACACAGGTATACTTTAACAAATTTAATGGAAATTTTTGCATAATTCCTTGGTCGCAGTGTGAACAGAATCATTCTGAGTGGTTTGATATGAAATGGTTCATTGTAAAGACTCAGATGTGGTGATAGGAACCAGGGGTCACCATGACTACAACACAAATATAGACATGTAATTTACTATCCAAATCCACCAATGAACCAACAGGTGTCTTCTGAGTTTTATATGGAATGTTGATGATAGTAAAATAGTGAACAATCTGAAAAATAAGCTTTCTTTGAAGACTATTTTGCCTCACAACGCCCTGCTTGTATCCCTCCGCCATGAATGGATTGCAATAAATGCATTGACAGGACATTTTACGCTAAAACATCATCACAAAACAGGCATCAGGCTGAGTATTCATAACCACTTTGTGTGATAACTTTCTGTGAGGGAGCTTTTAGAGGTGGACGTCTGGTTCCTATCACCACCACTGTGAGCAATTTGAGTAAATCTGACTTTAGCTTCTCTCGAACGGAGCATTTCACGCCAAACCACTCCGAATCGCTTTGTTTACAGCTTAACCATTTAATTATGTGGAACTTTTTTATTTTTGGAAAATTTGGTGGAGTTCCCCTTGAGGCCTTATCCAAATCCAGTCCTTTCTTAGGGCTATTTTACCCTATTTATTGCACTGTTGCACTGATTTTAAGACAACCAAGACCCGCAGCAGTGAGGCACGTTTTCATAAGTTAATAAAACGGTTCAAATGTCTGGAGGAACTATTTTAAACTGAAAAACGAAAACAGCCCAGCAGCGCTTCACTGCTTCACTCATGGTAGAGCAACCTGAAAATTAAAACTCCAGTAATCTTTGGAGGCGTTGGGTCGAGTTTTTCGGACTATGTCATACGACTTTACATATTAACCTCATACTGGTGGTGTAGACAGATGTATATTTTTAGGTGGGCCTGTCAAAAAGTGGGTAGGCCTGTTTGGTAGATACAAATTAGCCGTGCAGTCGTCGGCCTTCCTGTTTCAAAGTTTTTTTGCGCCCTATGGTAATATAACCAGTCCGCCAGAACATTGAATTCACATAAACACAACAAACACTGCAACACCCTTGACTATGAAGACCATCACAGCAAACTTAAAAGCCTAAACCTAATCACTGAAGCCACAAACATATTGCCACATAAAAATGTTTGTCCATTCATATCTTTCCTTTGATGCACTGAAGTAACGTTAGATAGTAGCTTGGACATTTTCACAGTCTATTTCAGCTTCTGTAGTAAAAGAGATGAGAACACAAAGCTGACACTTTTTTTTTTTTGTTTTGGGTGAGTAGATAATGACACTATCAGGGACAAAATTAAATTTTTAGCCTCCCAGGTACATCTTTTACCTGCAACTGGAGCTTCAAACACAGGCGTATTATAACGAACTGAAGGCTTGGAGCAATGGTGGATAGCAACAGTTGCAAAGCAGCGATTGGAGGGTTGAGGAAAAGAAGGAAGATCATAGAGGAGCTTATAATAATTTGATTGGTCAGTCGTGGGCTGGAGGTTAGGGAACCAGCCTTGTGACCGGAAGGTGGCCGAATTGATCCCCTGAGCCGGCGTGACTGAGGTTCCCTTTGAGTAAGGCACCTAACCCCCAACTGCTCCCCGGGCGCCTTGGATAGGGCTGCCCACAGCTCCAGGCGAGTGTTCTCACTGCCCCTTAGTGTGTGTATTTACTAGCGTGTGTGTGGTGGTTCACTGCACGGATAGGTTAGATTGCGGTGGTGAAGTATCCCCATTGTGGGACTAATAAGGGTCACTTAATCTCCCCATTTGATTGGGTAGGCTTCTGATCAATCTGGGTAGGACCAGGCCCACCAATGGCTATGCCCCTGCGTCACACGCACAGGCTCAGAAAAAAGGTCCAGCTCGATTTTTACGCTTCAAATGCAATATCAACATTATACTGATTAGAGTAGTAGATAATTCACTCACATCCTTGAAAGACAGGTCCTTCACCAGGTTTTAACTGAGTTCTCTTTCAGTTCTCTTTCAACACACTTGCAATCATCAGATTCAGAGACGAAGCACAACCCACGCTACAAAATGTTCCTCCGCTCATTGCATGTAGTTACACATTTCCACCAGAGAGGGCTCCAAATCCCCAAATCTTACATAGTTCAGATTTAACAAAAGACAAAAGCCGTAATCCGAACAACCCTAATTTTACATGATCGTGGATGTCATAGACATTTCACTCGCAGAGATTTTCAGGGAGGAGTTGACCTGTGCTCTGAAAAGTAACAGTGATTTATTTTTTTTTCCTCATTTTCGTCTTTTGAAATGTAGCTTTTCCATTGTGTGACAGCGAATTACATCAACTGCAGATGATTATGGATTTTATCATGATTTTATTCATCTAATAAAGAATCTTCCAAAGATGTGTTCCCAGGATTTTTTTTGATTTCAGATATTTTGACTTTTGACATTTGTTCATCAAGTTTTAAGCTTCTTTCTGTTTTTGATTAGATAATTTCTTTTGATTTATTGCTCAAACCCAGTGTTTTATTTTGGCCTGTAAGTGTACATTATTCTTTTAAAAAGCTATCCTTGTGGGGATAACAATGGCATGTTAGTGTCACAGTGGTGCTGAGAAGGGACCACCACCCATATAATGTCAGGTCAACAGGGGTTCTGTGGTCAGAAACTGACCAGTGACGAAAGGAGAGGGGTCAGGGGGTGTATGAGAAATTGTGCAAAATGGCAGATGGGCACATATCACCTGTATGTATACATATAAAATAAAGTGGACCTATAAGACGGGTGGAGCTCGTGAAGAGATCAGTGAAGTGAAGTTATCACTTTTCTTATTATTAGTAGTTGTAGTTTGTATAAGAACAAGTACGAACACAGATATCGGAGGGGTTTATGTATAATAGTGGGAGAGGGGTAAAGGTGGTTGGTGACGTCATTTGCCCCGCTCCCCTCCCTTTCTGGAGAACTCTGATCTAAACAGCATCTAAAGCAGCCTGAGGCAAAAGTCCACATTACACTGTAATTCTGATGAGAGATTAGATAAAGGAGTGTTGTTCTGCCCCTGCGCTCTGATTGGTTACTCACAAGCAGTCCGGCCGTTCTAGAACGCTAACATGGCCAATCCCAACGCAGGAGAGGCGGGGCTTGTCGGAAAACAGGTGGGAAAGAAAATATCCGCAGGTGACTGTAAAACTGTGTTGGCGATTCGTTCACTCTGATCTCTCAGCACATCATTTAATAAAGAAACTAATTTGGGTATAAAGACGTTATTGAGTAATTTACCACAGCATGACTGAGTAAAACAATTATGAAAAACACTCATTCATAATTTGTGAGCACTTGCTGGTGTCTTCTCCATCTAAGACTTGGTCAAGACAGTTACAGCTTAATGCAAATTATATGTAAATTATATGTAAATTATCAGTAAATGTATATCGCTGTTGTCAGAAAAAACCTCGTATCTCCAAAATTGTAACTTTACAGGAGGAGGAAAAAACCTACTTTACTTTCAATGTAAGTCAATGGAACCAGACTTTTTCCCAAGTAATTTTGGGCCGTTTCTTTTGGTCCAATCATCATAAAATATACACACAATGTAAAGAGCAACAGGTATTTTCAAATTATGTCAAAAAGTGAAAAATGACAAAAATGGAGATACCAGGTTTTCTTCCGAGAGCAGCGATATACATTTACTGATTCATTGTTTGGGTCTCATTAGCTAAGCTAAGTTAGCTAGGAGAGAGGAGCCAGCTAGCGTAGGCTTAGCTATGAGTCTACAGCTCCAAACACCACAGAACAGGCTTAATTTCGGCTTTTTGCACCTCCAACGCCAGCCGCTCGACTTCGCTCCCTTCTTTATCATCTGAACTTGTGTCAGTTCAGTTTGTTAGTCAGAATCGAATCTGTTCTGTGGTGAGCAGAGCTGGCAGCATGCTAGCTAAGCTAATGCTAACCAGCTACTCTCTCCTGGTTATCAGCGCCATTTAACAATGATAAACTGGTGTTAGATTGACGTTTATTGAGTGGTGGATTTAATATTGTGCACTCCTTTCATTTATTTGCCGTCTGTGTAAGTGAACTGAACCTATTTGACTGTTTTCAGGTTTTAAATAACGCAGCACGAGGCAGCGGCACAAAACTGACATAACCATAGTATCAGTCAGCGAATAGCTATGTCGTTCCACCGTCCCGCTGAACGGTTCTGTGACCCAGAATACGGTTAACTAACTGTGCCGAGAAAACATGCTGAGCCTGGTATTTAAGTGTTCCGCGTCAAACCGTGTCCGTGTGGAAACGCCACTAGAACGGTTACCCTCGGTGCTCAAAACTGTTCGGCCCTGCGGTGGAAAAGAGGCCAACCTTAATTTTTTTTGGTTTACTCTCCTAATTTGTTAAAATTACTAATACAAATCTAGCAACACACTATTTCTTGTTAATTTGAAGTCCTACAGCCTGGAGTCTTTTGCCTAAAAACTTCCCAGCATTCTTAACAGTTTTGTTGGTTTCTGTAAATTAATTTCTCTAATTTATGAATTTAATTTTCCTTGCAAAATGTTATTTTTGTGTCATAGCATAGTCTCAGGTTAACGTGAATGTTTTAGTTATTCTCGCCATGATGGTGTTCTGTGTTCAGGTTTATCTGGGGTGCATTCAACCTCAAAACGTTGTGCACTGTTTTGCTCTGACTTCCAGGTTGAACGACATGTTTTGTTGAAATGGTGAGCGACAGGTTTTCAGGTATATTTTCTCTGGTTTAATGGGTGTGTCAGAGGTGTTACCCAGTCACCAGCGACGTGTATATAAACCCAGCCATATTAAAAAGGCAGCGCACACAATGGATTCTAATGAAGTCCCCTACAAATGTGGCCGCTGCAGCTTGGTGTACGCAACAATTGAAGATGTTAGCAGGCATGTTTAATAGAATAAGCTAGAAGGACGACAAGAATGGCCTTCTCAGCTGCCACAGATGCAATGCTTATGTAACACAACTGGGTCCTCAATATGCCACCACTTCTGTTTGAACGCAGCCCTGTCCAGTCTATCACTATGAATGCTAGCAGAATAGCAAATATGCATTAACTATTAGAGTCCTCAAATAATGGGTGATTATAGACTATAGTCTATTTATTACTATACAAAACAATCCATTTAATATAATGGAGTAGTTTCAATTGATGCAAATACATTACATAATATTTGAAACTAACCTAACTAATTCAAGTGTAAGCAGAACTTGTGAAAGTAGAGCAGCTCAATGGAAACCACTTATAATGGTTGGACTGTTTGTGTTAACTTGCTGCAGAAGTGTGGATCACTGAAAATTAGAATTAGTATCTGTAACTCATCTTTTTGTAAAGTAAAGTCAACTAATTCAGTTTACAGTCCAGGCCGCCACCATGTCTGGTAAGATTGACTGGAGACGGGCGAAACAAGCCCTTATCTCATGTCACAGCATCCTCCTCAAGGAACGTCACAGGCCTCAAATAGACACAAATGCTAAAGTACTGTAGGCGTAAGAAATTTACTCTTAAAATTTTCTATATTAAAAAGATTCAAATTTGATTATGGGAGATAATCTACATCCCTTCCAAGTACCAAAGGCAGAGACTACTAGAATTAAAATGAACAAGAGCTTACTAGGAAATGCTTCTTTCATTAGGTAAACACAAAAAATGACGCCCAAGGTGAACAAACATTCAACACTTCATGTGTGTATTTGCTTTCAGAAAAGGCTGATGATGAATTTCAAAGGGCTCCCTACTCCCTACACAGTGCATTGCATTGGTCAGTCTGTATATTCTACACCCCAACAGTGAATTTACACCGGTCAGCCATAACATTAACACCGCCTCTGTGTTTCTACAATATTTGTCTATTTTATCAGCTCCACTGACCATATAGGAGCACTTTGTAGTTCTACAGTTACAGACTGTAGTCCATCTGTTTCTCTGCATACTCTCTGTATACTTAGTTTGTGTTGCGCTGGTACGAGTGGATCAGACACAACAGTGCTGCTGGAGTTTTAAACACCTCGGTGTCGCTGCTGGACTGAGAACCAAAAATATCCAGCCAACAGCGTCCTGTGGGCAGCGCCCTGTGACCACTGATGAAGGACTAGAGGATGACCAACACAAACTGTGCAGCAGCAGATGAGCTATCGTTTCTGACTTTACATCCACAAGGTGGACTGACAAGGTAGGAGTGTCCAATAGAGTGGACAGTGAGTGGACACAGTGTTTAAAAACTCCAGCAGCACTGCTGTGTCTGATCCACTCAGACCAGCACAACACACACTAACACACCACCACCACGTCAGAGTCAGTGCTGAAAATCACCCAAATAGTACCTGCTCTGTGGGGGTCCTGTGGGGGTCCTGACCACTGAAGAACAGGGTAACAGATGGACTACAGTCTGTAACTGTAAAACTACAAAGTGCTCCTATATGGTCAGTGGAGCTGATAAAATGGACAATGAGCGTAGAAACAAGGAGGTGGTGTTAATGATATGGCTGACTGGTGTATATTCAGCTCAAACGACCCACGCAAGACCCAAGCCGACCAGTGTCGGAAAACGCGTGGGAAACAAAATTATCAACAGGTGAATGTGAAACTGCGATGACGATTCGTTAAAGATTTTTATCTTTAAATACATAATGATGTATTAATGAGTGCAGATGAGGAAGCTAGAACCAAATTCAGAGACTACGGGACGAACGAGAGCGTACTAGGAAAGGCTTTTTTCACAGGTAAACACAAAAATAAAACGTCTGTAATGCGATACTAATAAGCGTCCAACGTTTACCTGTGTATTTACCTTCAGAAAATGCTAAAGCTAACGGATTTGGCTGACGTTGCGCTTGAAAAGCGACCCGCGGAGGCACAAAATCTACATATTTGTGATAAAACTGAGTAAAAATGAGCCAAAATGATCGGAATGCAGGTGAACAAACGTCTCCTCAGGTCGTCTTGAAGGTTTCTGAGAGCAGATTCGTGTTAAAGGCGCAGGCGGGCTTTGCGGAAGTAGAGAGAGCTTCTTATTCGAATTCTGTCGGTCCACCTTAAATGGTGCAGCAGTTCCATTCTGGCGCCTGAGGCCGTTTCCACCATTTAAGGTGGAACGGCAGACTTCGAATAAGAAGCTAAGTTCGTAGAGTTGTGAAACGCTGCTGTGTTGACAGACCAGCTTTGGTAAGGCAATACAGAAACTACACCGCCGTAATGTTGTCATTTTTTCCGTTTTCATTTGCATACGATTAATAATAGTGACAGAAGCTGCTTTTCAGCTTTTTAAACGTTTATTCTCGTCAGTCATGACTTGGAAAGGTCGACAGGAGCTGTGAGGAGGTGCTATTAGGACATTTTACAGTGTTTACATATATTTTAAAAACCTTATCCTCACTAATAATCCGCTTCTGGTGGCTAAACCATCTGTAAGAGTGAGTAGAATCGATAATGACATTAAACAGAGCGTTAAAATCGAATTTTTTAAGCTTATTTATTGTGTTTTGTACTCATGCCAGATGTGAACAACCACAAATCTCCTGTTCCTGCTCTGACGTTTAGATGAAGAAGCTCATGGTGAGACACAGTGATGAAGATCCATGGAAAAATCCTGCATCACTACCTGTCCTGTAGTGCACCTGTGGTTAAGGAGGGCTTCCTGTACAAAAAGGTGGGCTATATGTAGAAAAGATGGTTCTTCTAGGGTTCTTTTGTAAAGGGAATGGTTCCGTTTAGTTCTATATAGGACCATTTCCTGCTTAAATGGGTCTTTGCATGGTGAAGTTGTTCTTCAGGTTGAAGGAGAATGTGTTGAACATGGTTCTATATAGAACCTTTTTAAAATTAGTTCTGTGTAGCACCAAAAAAGAACCATTTTCAAAAAAGGCTCTATATAAGAACAGATATACATCAGTATGAAGAACAGTTCCACCATGCAAAGAACCATTTGAGCATGGGATAGGTCTTGATAGATCTCATGAGTTCTATACAGAACCATTTAATGCTTAAAGGGTTCTTTGCATGGTGAAGTTGTTCTTCAGGTTGAAGGAGAATGTGTTGAACATGGTTCTATATAGAAGCTTTTTAAAAATAGTTCTGTATAGCACCAAAAAAGAACCACTTTCAAAAAGGGTTCTATGTAGAACTCATATACATCAATCGGAAGAACCATTTCACCATGCAAAGAACCATTTAAGCATGGGATTGGTCTTGATAGATCTCATGAGTTCTATACAGAACCATTTCATGCTTAAAGGGTTCTTTGCATGGTGAATTGTCCTTCAGATTGAAGGAAAATGTGTTGTACATGGTTCTGTAAAGAACCCTATTAAAAATAGTCCTATATAGCACCAAAAAAGGTTCTATAAAGAACACATATACATCAATCTAAAGAACCATTAAAGCATGAAATAGATCTATATAGATCTTGTGATTCTAAATAGAACCATTGCCTTTGCTGAAGAACCCTTAAAGAACCATCTTTAAGAGTGTAGGCTTGGGATAAATTGCAGTGCCGATGCCAAATCACCATAGGAAATTCTTTTTAGTCCAGGCTTTGGCTTAGTCTAGGTAATCTGGGTCCGAGAAACTGTCCAAAAGTTTGTAGACACCTGCTCATCCAGCGTTTCTTCTGAAATTAAGGATGTTAGTAGTAAGTTTGTCCTCCTTTGCTGCAGTAATAGCCTCTACTCTTCTGGGAAGGCTTTACACTATATGTTGGAACATTGCTGTGAGGATTTGATTGAGCTTCAGTCAGGTACTGATGTTGGATGATCAGTTCTGGATCACTCCAACTCATCCCAAAGACATTCGATGGAGCTTCATCACTCCAGAGAACGCAGCTCCACTGCTCCACAGCTCAATATTGGGGGGCTTTATACCCCTCTAGTCGACTCTTGGCATTGGGCATGGTGACCTTAAGCTCATGTGTGTCCCATTCTATTGGTCAGCACATTTCTAAAGTGATCTACAAGCATTTTTATGGTGACTTAGAATAAAATCTCTGATTTTTTCCCACTTCTCCTAAAAAAAGTTACCATTTTTGAGTTTTGTGTTCGACAGCAATGATATGTTGGTCAGTTATTCTGCCCCCTGACCAGCCAGCTGATCCAATTCAGATTAATGTTATTAAAAACAGTTCTTTTTCCCTTTTTGGGTCACTTTAACTCTGTCCAGTATTAGCCCATCCAGTGGATTAGGCTATGGGTGGTAGACCTATAGTGACAGTTATCTTAAAAAAATAAATCCAATATTAATAATGCATGTTTGATAGCATTTTCAAGTAGTTCTATACCTCAATCTGGCATTAGAAGCAACAATATGTTGGTCAGTTAATCCGCCCCTGACCAGCCAGCTGATCCAATTAAACGTGTCTGTTGACCAATCAGTGAGTCACTGAGTGCTGTTACATATGAGAAAACTAAAATAACTCATGATTCCCATTTCCGCAGTACTGCACACACTTAAAAATGATGGATATTTAGTAAAGAAAAGGATTCTTCTGTTGTTACAAGCTTGACATCGAAACAATATGGTGCTATATAGAACCCTTTTCGAAAATCTTAGCACATTCTCCATCAATCTGTAGAACCCTTTCACGATGCAAAGAATCCTTTAATCATGCATAGGGTTCTTTGAGTGTTCATGTTTCTATATAGAACCATTTTCTTTTTAAAGAACCCTTGAAGAACCATCATTTTTCAGAGTGTAGGCTACAGTGAGGTGCTGTCAGAACAAAGCCTGTACATCCAAACCGGCAAATTGACAGGACGAGGATAAACATTCTTCAGTTTCAACGGAAGTTAATAGAACGTGATCATATCTTATTATGTAAAGAGCAGCTTGCATTTTCAAATCATGGGAAAAAAAAAAAAACGACAAAAATGGAGAGATAGGTCTGCGTTACGACAGCAACGATACTGTATGCTGCTTTTGGACCTTGTGTGTAAATAGTACAGTTACACAGATATTGAGTATGATTGATTCAGACAAAATGGGACATCAGTACAGTTGAAAAGAATGTTTTCCATTTTTAACAGATGCTCACAGGCAGATTCTATATAAATGGGCAAATGCAGATACTGTAAATGGGCTAATTCAGTTACAAAAGAAATATTTAGGGACAAATTTAAAAATCAGAATGGCTTTATATATTTATATACCTGACATAGTAAACCTGGGTGTGATCTTAGACTCTGAGCTCTGTTTTATGTGCATGTAAACACAGACACTAAACCAGCTTTTTACGATTTGAGAAATGTCGCTAAAGTTCTGCTTTTTCTATCTCAGAGCGACGCAGAGAAACTTGTTGCATTTGTTAAAGCAGAGTTGATCACTGTAATGATCTTCTTACTGGACTTCCTAAAAAAAAAACAGTACATCCTTTACAACTCGTACAAAATGCATCAGCATCCTAACAAAAACTTAGTCATTTTTTTGGGGAAAAATAAAATCTCAGGTCATTTTAAAGTGCAAAAATCCCTTGCGTTCAGTTTATTTTCATAAATTAATTCTGAATCAAACTGAATTGTGGTACTGAGATTTTCTGATGCGCTGAATCGTTTCCTAAAGGAATCGATTCAGTTTGAATCGTGAGGTCAGAGATTTTCACCCTTAGTAAGCCGTCCTGGTGAACTCTGTGTTCTGTCTGATGGCCCCGCAGGGTGAAGTGAACACCTCCTATCAGAAGCGCTGGTGCACCCTCAAAGGGAACCTGCTGTTCTACCGGGACCGCCCGGGGGACAGGGAGATTTTAGGGGTCGTCGTGTTGGAGGGCTGCTCTGTACAGCTGTGTGAATCGGACGAGCAGTTCGCCTTCTCTCTGGTGTTCAGTGAGACCGGCCTGCGCACCTACAAATTCTCGGCCGAGAACCAGAAAAGCCAGGAGGGCTGGGTTAAAGCCCTCCACTCAGCCAACCACAGCTTCCTCTCCATCCTCCTGCAGGACCTGCGCCAGCAGTATCTGGGTAAGACAGGACAGAGTCCAGCGTGGGTCACTGTTAGAGCTCAGATCATTTTCTTTGAGAACATTCATACCTTTCAAAAGTTTTAAACTGCTTTTCACATTATTAACACTTACCAATACTTATACAGCAAAAATATTATAAACTATATAATAACGTTTCACTTATTATTTAAATAGTTTGGAAACAAGAAGTAATTTAATGACAATAATATACTGGCATTATTTTATTTAAGTTTTCTGCCTCCATATTTGATGAACACATATTATTAGAACTATTTATTTAGTTCTGATAATACTAAATTTCATCCTCGATATGAACTTCCTTTCTGAATATGAATTTTATTATAACTTCATTCTAGGTCTGAATTATATTTTAACCTTTATATAGGCATTAAGATTATCAGAACTTCATTCTAGGTATTAATTTTATAAGAACTTCCTTCTGGATATTAATGTTATTATAAATTATCATTTTGTCTTCCTACTTTTGCACAGCTTTCTGTTAATTATTTGAAACCTGTGAAGTTCATTTTATTTTATTAAAATCATTTTATACATTTATCTGCAACCGAATCGAATGAATGTTATTGAAAGCAGTGTTTTTTCCTTTTTGGGTCCCTTTAACTCTCTCCAGTATGAGCCCATATAGTGGATTAGGCCATGGATGGTAAAACAATAATGACATTTATATAAATTAAAAAAAATATATAGTTTTTCCGATATTGATAATGCATGTTTGAGGTATTTTAATAGTGATTTCAAGCAATTCTATTCCTCAGTCTGGCATTAGAAGCAGATGAAATTTAATTTTTAAAATGATTTTTTAATAACTAGAAGGCATGAACGCACTATTCCAGCAGACTAGGTGGCGCTGAGTGCATTTAACTCAGTAGATAAGGAGGGAGCTGCTTTTGGAGATTCGGATCCTTTTGACATCTGTGAAAAAGTTTTGTTTGCTGGAACACAGCTGCTTCGTCATCTTGGTTGTTGTCATGCCAACAGCAGAGGCGACCATCATTGGTCCGAAAATATTCATGTCACCAACGAAAATTTGCAGAAATCTAACAGAGGATAAACAAAATAATGTTGTATTTTCGCCTTCTGAAAAATTGTGTTTGTTATGCAAGATACCGTCATGCAAATGCTCAAATTAGTTTATTTTCACCTGAATAAATTGCATGAATAAATCACACAGTGTCTAACGGCCTTTACAGTGTACAAAAATGTGGTTCTGATGTAAGTAGCTAATAGTATTTGATCATTTTTCTTTTGCACTATAGTGAATGGTGCATTTGTATTTTTTGTGTGTGGTTAGTTTAAAAAAACAGCACATCTGGTTAGAGATACACTTTATTAATCATAATATATTGCTTCTCGTATCGTCATGGTGACACAGAACAGCTTTATCGAACATTGCATTTCCATATCGTGCTCATCTAATATGTCTTGGTATTCTTGTCTTACAGAGACGGCAGAAGCATTGGGAGTTAAACCGGTGGACTGTTCGCAGCTGGTGAAAGAGAGCATGCCTCATTCTCAGAAGCCGTATGTAACCTCAGTGTTTTACGCTGTGCCAGGCGCGAAAGAATCAGGGGGTCTCGGAAACAATCAGCACCTTCTGGTCCCACCCCCCGGTGCCAAGCACGCCAGCAAACGCTCCCCTAAACTCTGGCCTAAACGTCATGCTCACGTCATGCCCCTCAACGGCCCACCCCCGGCCCTTGGGGAGTGGTCAGAGCCCACAGAGGAGTTCAGCAAAATGCACGAGGACTATGGCAGGGAGGTTAGGCAACTGGTGGCCGACTGGCAGAAGAAAAAAAGGCGGGAAACGACGGCCATGCCAGAGGAAGATCTGATTGATTTGGGTTAGATTGGTAGAAAAATCAAATTTACCCAATTTTCCCATTTTTTCAGATGATGGTTGATCAGCCAGTGGCTGTGTTTACATGCAGATTTTCAACAATCCAATTGAATACATTCCGATTATAGATTAAGACTGAAGTGTTTATTCTCACTCTACTCAACAATCTGATGGAAAATCTCTGTTTACATGCTTACTACAAGTAATCCGATCCAAAATTATGCACAGTTGTAGAGAACCACTTTAGACGTTGCCATGACAATGAGCACCACGTGAGTCCAGTCAGAGCGAGATGAGCAGCAGTGAGCAGTGCTTGTGTTTTTAATGACTTTAAAATGATGTCAGACTCAGGAAAACGTCCTTCACATGTCCTTATTAAAGAAGGCCGAGAGGAAGACGTCGTGTTCTGAGACACATAAGCTGGACGTCCGTCCCACCGCCGTCTTTTAAAGATCAGAGCATAAACTTCGTCTCCTCTGCAGACCAGTTTCTGCTCCGCCATGTTGAACGGTATAAACTCTCACTATGACGTGACGAACATGATCAGAACGGACTTAAACTTTCCGATAGGGAATGTAATCAGATACAGGCGTTTACACGGATATTATTCTTCTATTTAACAGATTATTTACAGGATCACCCACCTCGATCAATCAGATAGAAATTGTATTCCAAATGGCCCCGATCAGACTAAACTATTCTGAATGAGGTGTTTACATGGACATATTCTATTCAGATTGAGCTATTAGTCGGATTATTAACGGATTATTAGTCTGCATGAAAACGTGCTGCTGTTTGTTGTTTGAAGTTTGCTTCTTTAATTATGCACTGGAGCTACAAAGCTAATGTAGCTAACAAATAAAGAGACTTTATGACCCACCAGTTAGCATCATGCATGTCTACATTATCACAGACTTATCATAGACTTGACATGATATTTCTAACACTGTATGACATTATGAAGCCTGAACTTTGTCCATGTTTAAGAGAACAGTGTAGAAAACCACATAAACAATCCACACTTTTGTGAGTTTGTGTAGTGCTAATTAGTGGGGTATGAGCTTCCGTTGTTTATCAGTGCAAAGCTAAAGAAGCAAACGTTGGACATCTTGGATGAATGTCTTGCCTATTCGACTACATTTGGGGGAAAATTGTGTACATTTGATAAGCGACAAGAGGGAAAATGACAAACACTCTTGGAAATGTTAGAAAATCTATTTTTGTAGAGCTTATCTGGCTTTTCAACTTGAGAAATGTACACAGTCCATGAAAAGATTGGAGACACATAGCTTTTTTAAATGTTCGTAATACAGAAAAATGTTTTCTTTGGCGAATGTTAATAACATACCAAATTGTAAGCTGTTTAGATCTTGACAGACAGTTTTCTTTGCCAAAATTGCAAAACTGCAAGACCAGCTGACGAAAGCTGTGGAAGCACCACACATTTTATCCCCTTGTTGTGATCATCACTCAACTTTCAGGTGTTTCAACAAAAAGGGTTTCAATATGTGCTTTGAGCAAAGGTTTGGAAAAGAAAACTGTCATTGTTATTTAGGCAATTCCTGCTTGTCATACCAAAGAAGACACTTTGATGAAGTTGAAGCTGAGGATTAGCACCACAGATATACATACCCAGATGCCGCATTGGGTCCAGCCAGGCACGTCAACGGCGCCGCCATTTTGGGGCGGTCAACAATGCAGCTGGACTGCATTCAGTACCATTACAGAGCGGCAGTTTAAGAAAGATACTGTCCAAAATTACACTATTTCAAGAATACTGCACTCAGTGAAAGTGGGATAGGATTATATAACGGAGGGAACGCAGTGATCCACACTCATGTCTGTGTGATGCGTATTGTTTGTGTGATGTTTGTGTAGATATGGTCGTGTGGTTAATGAGGCACAGAGAACCTGTTGATGTGATTGTTTTTCCTCTGGTTTTATATTGAGCTTATTTCATTTAATAGTCTATTCAGGGGGTCTTAACTTGATGTAGTAGTTATTTATTTACAGTGATGGTTAAAGCTTTGTAGCTCAGTAAGTTACAGCATTCCTTAATCCGTGTAGAGATTCATAATAGATTAACGTTAGCACCTTATTACACGAACCTGACGTTAGCTTTTTATCTGCCAGCTTCTTGTTTGAATTTTCCCGTTCCACCTTAAATGGTGCAATGGCCACTTTCTGGTGCCTAAAGCTGCACCATTTAAGGTGGAACGGGAAAACTCGAACGAGAAGCTGGTGAATAGGAAGCCAACTTCAGCTTCGTCCTTCTTAGTGAGTTTTGGGGGTTTATTTTATTTTTATGTGTATTAAGATTAGAAGTGATTCCACACACTGATGGATTTGCTGATGTGTGTGTGATTTGTGTTTCTATTCATGCTAAACTCAGTTTTTAACGTCAGGTGGTCCAGTAATAACACGATCAGTTATGATGAAAATTCAGTTGAGTAATAAGGAAGTTGTGGCTGATTTAATCCTGAGACTAATCGTCTCTCAATACAAGTGAATTAGTTCACAAGCGGATCTTGACCTCTCCAACATGGCGGACGCTCAGACGTATCGCCTCAGATAGAGAACAACAGACAACTCGGCATCTAGGTATGTGTATCTGTGATTAGCACATGGCTGCTTTTCTTACTTGATTGATTTTCACTGTTACTTTTCAGCCGTTACTCTGACCGTTTTAAAGAAGGCGACGTCCCTGAACTTTTCACAGGCAGTGAAGACTTAACGACTGTTATCGATGCTGGAATTGAAGACCTTTTTTGTGTGGATGAGTTCTGTATGTATGTCATTGTGTGATTCAATTAAGAGCAATATTTGTAAAGCATTAGTGAGTTATTGCACAATTCATTTTTAATGCTGGGGATATTTTTTGTATTGTGATATTTAATACCACAGTGTGGAAGAAGGCCAAATTTTCTGGATTATTATTTAGTTTTTAAAGACTGATCATGAATGCTACCTACCATATTTACTAGAAGCTGTGGCTTAATGTATGTTTGTTATATTTCCTGATAAAGTATATTATTTAATGTAATGGATTCTTTCTCTTATTATTCAGGTGACTTGTTTCTTTTTCCTCTCTAACCTCAAATGCAGGTGATCAGGCAAGACATGTTCGGTGTCTGAAGTTTATTCAAGGCTAACGCAGCTAACAAATAATGGACGCTTATGTCCACCAATTAGCACTGTGGAAACCTCACATCTGAATCATCAAACTTGCCTCAGAGTGTGTTGTTTAAAATGGACAAACATACAGACATGACATCTGTGTCCATGTTTAGATCACAGGATGTCACATGGTGTCACAAACCACATTCATTAGAGATTGCTCAAAGGGGAATTCCACTAAACTTTTAAAGTTTCTTCATAATTAAGTGGCTAAGATGTAAATAGAGTCAGAATTCACGCACTTAAAAAGAATGGTTCTTCAAGCGTTTTTTTAGTAAAGAAAATGGTTCTATATAGAACCATGAACAGTCAAAGAACTCTGCATGATTAAAGCGTTCTTTGCATCGTGAATAGGTTCTTCAGATTGATAGGGGAATGTGCTGTAGATGGTTCTATATAGAACCTTTTTGAAAGGGTTCTATATAACACCAAAAAGGGTTTTTCTATTGTTATGATGTCAAGCTTGTTACAATAGAAGAACGCTGTTTGTGGTGCTATATGGAACCCTTTTCAAAAAAGGTTCTATGTAGAACCATCTACAGCACATTCTCCATCAAAAAAACCTTTAATCATGCAAACGGTTGATTGAGTGTTCATGGTTCTATATAGAACCATTTTCTTTACTGAAGAACCTTTGAAGAACATCTTTTTAAGTGTGTAGGAGCCAGACATCCACCTCTAAAAGCTCCCTCACAGAAGGTTGCTACATGAAATGCCCTGAAACATTGTTTTATGATAGTTCTGAAAGAAGGTTTTGGCTTAAATGTATTTTTTTAAATGCATTCATGATGGAGGGATACATGCAGGACGTAGTGAGGCAAAATAGTTCCCAAAGGAAACTTATTTTCAGATTAATCACTATTTTATCATCATCAACATTCCATATAAACACTCAGGAGACATGTGTAGGTTCACTGGTGCTTTTGGATAGTAAATAACATGGCTATATCTGTGTTGTAGTCATGGCGACCCCTGGTTCCTATCACCACCACTGTAAAGACATCTGAACCGTTTCACGCCAAACCACTCTGAATCACTCTGTTTACATCTAAACAATTAAATTATGCACAAACTGTGGAAAATCAGTGGAACTGTATGATGACTTAGGCATGCAGTTAGCACCATGCTAAACAGTGGGGTAGAAGCTTCCATGACTTTTTAGCTCGGTTGGCTTTGTATCTCCTGTGCGAAACTAAGGCTTTAGAGACAAAACGTCTTGGCTCACTGATGTTTGTGGAAAGTGGAAAACTGTGACATGTTCACTAAACTATTGCGTTAATATTTCAGCTATCTTTTAAAAAAGGTCATCAAGTTTTGCGCTAGGCCAGGTTAATTATTAACTGCTGACAACAGAAAATGGTCAGTAATGTGGGGCAGGACGCTGAAGCCGTCTGTCCTGGCCTCACCTCTTGATCTCTGCCTGTCTGTTGGAACAGGTGGACTTTTATTGCTCCTAAAAGCTGCCAACAAAAAAGTGCCCCACAAATGCAACACATGTGGGGGGTTAAAGGGCAGCATGCTTTCAGGCCAGAGAATGACGGGGGGGAGGGGGGGAGAAAGTGACCAGTAGAAAGCAAAAGGAGGATGTGTTTATTTTGGAGAGGAACTAGAAAAGTGCATTTCCTGAAGAGAGCGCAGAGTGATTGTGCAGCGTAAACATTTCCTGCCGGTTTCTACAGTGTGCTCATGCAGTTACTGTGGTATTTTAGGTGGTCAATAAGTTGTTGCTTAGTGGCTGCGATGGAATTCCTGATGGTTGCTAAGGTGTTACTAGGCAGCTGCTATGGTATCCCAGGTGTTTCCTAAGTGGTTTCTATGGTACCCCAGGTGATGATTGCTAAGGTGTTGCTGGGCAGTTGCTATGGTATCCCAGGTGGTTGCTAGGTGGTTGTTGTGGTACCCGAGGTGAATGATTGCTAAGGTGTTGCTAGGCAGTTGCTATGGCATCCCAAGTGGTTGCTTGGTGGTTTCTGTGGTACCCCTGGTGATGATTGCTAAGGTGTTGCTAGGCAGTTGCTATGGTATCCCGAGTGGTTGCTTGGTGGTTTGTATGGTACGCCTGGTGATGATTGCTAAGGTGTTGCTAGGCAGTTGCTTTGGTATCCCAAGTGGTTGCTTGGTGGTTTCTATGGTACCCCAGGTGATGATTGTTAAGGTGTTGCTAGGCAGTTGCTATAGTATCCTAGGTGGTTGCTAGGTGGTTTATGTGGTACC